CGTAGTCGGCATCATCAGTCAGTTTTGCCATTCGCCGCACCAAGCTACGAACTCGTCAAAGAGACAAGACTTGAGGCCACAACATCTTGGTCTTCATATCTTCAATTAAGCCAGGCATCCTCCAAAGCATAGTTATGGTATGGAGAGTAGGTGGGTGTCGAAGACTCCCTCAGTAGATTAACTTTGGCTTACTTTCGTTTTTTCTTAAAATGCGAGTGGAAGTGGTTCATAAATTAGCCTTACCTGAAAACAAAGGAGAAATGAGGCTGTCCGCTTTTACTCGGTGACTCTTTCTGTTCTCTCTTCCTCTTCCCAAATCTATCCAATAGCTGAAGGCCGTTTTTAATTAAATTCCCACTTTCATTTATACTATTCACGATGTTGTAGGATTGAAATGTCTTCCCCACCTATACGCGAATACAGTAGCGAAAAATCTTATATTAACATGATCTGTAGAGGAGGTCGTATGAATCTTTAAAGAATAGCCTGATGTAAAAAGTATTACTCCTTCCTTATGCATGCATTTGACGCTCCGTCGCTTCAGTGATTCACTTTTAGTTTCTGAAAAATATCACAACCGAAGCACCATGAACTTGTTTGCAGCAGTATCCAATTTCCTGTTTTGTCCGACATCATATTTCTTAAAATTTGCAAACAATTTGCAATCAATCCTGTTCCAAAAGGTTTTTTAATCATTCTTATTCTCCATCCTGGTTATTAAACATCTGCCATACACACGCTTCTTACTAGCATTAATTTCATCAACCTCAATTAGACCCCATAAACCTATATTCGTAGGTCTGGCATCTTGTTGAATAAATGAGTTTTTTTCATATTGCCTAGTTCTCCGCTTCTGATAAAGTATGATAGGCGAAGCTAGACTATTATTTAGGGTTTTTATAGGATCTCTAGTTATACTTCTATACACTTCCAAATCGGATGAGAGAAACTTCAGGTAAGACTGTGTGAACTTCAGTGGCATCATGAGGCCTATTAAATATTTGTACTATGGTAGAAATTTGCTATCATTTCTTCCGACATCTTAAGCGACCTAGAGCTATTCAAGTATTCCTTCCAGGCAACTGTATAACTTAG